TTTTTTAAATTAAACATACTTTAGATAGTTTTCAGTTAAAACCCTAAACTCTATTTTGCTTTTATATATGCTAAACTTTAGTTTAGATCCACGATCAATAAAATCTTTGCAACTTTCACTTATTAATAAGGACCCTTTTTCAAGTGTCCAAAGTTGATTTTCTTTATTGGATACATTGACTATAATTTTTTCAATTTGGTCTTCTGACCAGTTATTTAACACATTTCCAATAGTTCCCTTTTTATTTATATTTTTATTTCCGCCATTATAGTTTAAAACTAAAACTATTAAATGTGAATTGGATCTTGCTATGGCATCCACAAGCACGTGTCGAAGATAAATCTCGTCTGGTCTCACCAAGACAACTACAGTTTCAGATTCACATCCAGAAAACCCTTTACAGTCAGTCACAAGGATATCAAATTCACTTGTTAGCTTCTTTGTAATTTCGATTTTTTCTGTTATTTTTGGCGTGTATTTTTGTAAATGTGGCGAATATGTAACTGCTTTATATTTTCCAATATCTATTGCGTATCCAACAGATTGCACTTCTTCTATGTTATTGCATATAACAACAATTTTCCGTTCTGTTTTAGAAAAAAGGCACTCTAACACAACAGACAGAAACTTTGCAGATCGCTTTTTTCTAAATTCATTAAAAGGAAAATATACTACCGTTGGTTTTTCTCCTTTAATTGAATGTCCCATAGAACTTAATTTAAAAACAAAACTTGTTTCCATAAAACAGTTTGAAACTTCATCATTACTTTTAATTGCTACATACTTTGACACGTGATCGAGATCATATTCATGAAACTTTTTTTCAATTATATCAATGGTACTTTCTACTTCAACATGATTAAAATTGTTGCCAACTTCATTGCTATTACTCAATTTAGATTGTCTCATAGACTCATCTTTCGATTCTTTAGATGAATAGGTATTTTGAAGTAATATCTGATCCTTTTTTAAGCTTGGAAAGTTGAAAACAGTTTTTGATTCACAGATAGATTCTTGAGAAGAATCTATTAATGATTTATTACATTTAGTTACTCTCATTGTCTTTTCAAGTGTAAAGACCTTCATATCTAGTGCTTCTTCATTAAAGTAGTTTTTTTGTATTAACTGTTTTTTATTACTTGTAATTATTTCTCTGAATTTCTCAACACTTTCAGGTATAAAAACAAATAAAGAATCTTTTAATACAGATGAAAATAAATTATTAATTAATTTAACTACATCTTCATCTTTGACATAATCAGGTGACAGTTCTTCCAATACAAAACAAACTTTATTACTGTTACTAACAACCAAATACTCTAGTAATTTTGGAATACATATATTTTCTTCTATAATATTTTTGTTTATACACATTGTTTGCCATAACTCAAACAAATTATCACAAACAACAGTAACATTTGATTTTTTTTTAATACTGTCAACAAACCTTTTCATTTCACATTCATACAATGAGAAATGATTACAACATATGTAATACAAGGTTAAATTTTCATCTGGCTTTTTTATACATTTTTTTACAATCTCCTTACCAACAACAGATTTACCTGAACCATATCCTCCGGTGATAATTTTTTTAAGTTCCCTATCATGAATTGCGACCCATTGCTCGTGGTTTAGAATTAAGGACTCTATTTGTTTTTGAGGATCATCTTCTAATGTTGGTATATTGATTATATAATTCTTCATATTCACTTTAGCGATCACAATTATAGTTAACCCAACAAGTTTTTTAAAAAATGTTGTATTATTATTTTGAACATTTTTTTTTTTTTTGCAATAAACATCAACTATTCTCCACCAACGCTCAAAATTTTCATTTGTAATATCATCTTTACATAAAAACAAAATTTGTTTTAAGTAAGAAGATTCTATCTGACAGTTCCAACGGTTAGAGAAAATAAAAAATAACTCTTCATTTAACTCCTCACGCTTAATTAAAGGTAAAATAATAGTTCCTAATATAATTAATTTATTAACTTCAATGAAAAGACTGTTAACAGTAATAAACATTATGATATCATTCAAACAATTTTCAGTTTCTATCTTCATGCAATCTAATGAAGTAGCAATCCGAGCAATGAGAACAAGATTGAGTTCAGAGTAAAATATTATTATTCTATCTTCATCTTTACCATATCTAAAACTTTCAACATTACACTTTAAAAGTTTTGCATGAGAGCGTAAATGGTAACCAGGTAATATAGCACAAATACCAGTTTTATTTGCAGAAAAGAATTAATAAAATATGTCAATTACCAAGGTTGCACTATCTTCACCAGCAAAAGAAGGACGGAGACAAATGACATCATTTAAATCAGGAAAATTTCTATCAATATAAGTATATGCAAATGACTCGATTGATTCATTACGCGGTATTTTATTAAGACAGTACTCTACAGAACCTGTTGTTCTCCAATCAAAAGAGTAAGGTGTTTTGATATATTTGTTGAACTCATTGTTGAAAATTGGTTCAGGAGTTGTAATAACAATATTATTGTATGAAGATTCATAATAACAGTCACCTGAATATAAATAAACAAATAAACTAAAACATAACAATCACCGAAACTTAGAAGTAGTCTATTGAACAAAGATTTAAAGCCTAAAAGAAAATAAAGCAAAAAACTTAAACACAATCACATAACTTAAAAGTTATCTTGAGTTAAAAAAGCAACAATAATATGCAAATACCAAATTTCAAATTTCAAAAAGTTACAATAATATACAAAAGTAAAGTTACATTTATACACATCAGGGGTGTGGAGTCGTAAAAAAAAAAGTAATGATTCCAACTCCATTTGTTAAAATTGTTATAGTACGACTCCAACTCCGACTATAAAAGTTTTGAAAAACTCTTTGAGCTCTTTAAAAAATATTACGTGATAATTTAAAAAGATTTTTTAGCCAAATTTAAAAAAAGCTCTTTGAAGATTTAATATGAATATAAGGTTGATTGAATATTTGTACATGCACGTGCAATACCGAGAAGTTTTACTATTGGAGTTCGAGTTATTTTTTTAGCGACTCCAACTCCGCTAAAAAGGTGGTGACTCTGCAACTCTAACTCCGCAGTTCTACACATTAAGTGTTTTTTTTTAGGCAACAAAATTTTGTAACAAGACCTGGGAAAAACAAAACAAAACAAAAAAATTAAAATAGTTGAATAAAATCAGAAAATTATAAAATTTAGCTACATGAATAAAAATGTTGAAAAAGATTTTTCAACAAGTAGTTTTAATATGGTATCACATAAAGTGTACATGGAGATTTGAAACATATGTCTAAATAACCGTAACAAAACTTTCAAAACATTAAAACAATTTACAGAGGTTGAATTAACTTGATTTTGGCTGAACACAATTTAAAAGAAAAAGACTTTTTTTGCATTTCAAAAAACGAAACACAAAAAAAAAGTGTAATAAAAAAATAACAAAATGTTAGTATTATTAAAACGTTCGTATAATTTGTGTTTTTATATTCTTGCCAAAAAAACTTTTTATCGATATTCTTATTATTAACCTATATACATATATGCTTAATAAAATAAATATTTTTTGTTTTAGATCATTTAAATTATTAAAGCTATAATGCAACTTAACAAAATTGGTATTAGATTGTTAATTGAGACTTGTCGTCGTAATCAGAAGTCTCCATCTGATGCTAACAAATTCATAAATATTGTCTGGGGTGAGGATGCAACTTCTATTCAAACAGTATACAAGTACTACCAAAAGTATTCTACATCAAGCATAAGTGATTATAGTTAGTTTTTAGATGATTTGAGGTCAGGTAGACCCAATGCCTCAACAACTATGGACAACATTGATACAAAAAGTAATTTGCGCTATCTCATTTGACAGCAAGGTCTATGTAGAGGTACTTCCAAAAAGACAATCAGTCAGTTCAGAAGTATATATGCTTTTCCTATCGAATATGTATTCTAATTTTGTCAACAAAGGCTCAAAGAGAGTAATATGGAACACAAAACTCCTTCAGTACGATAATGCTAGGCTCCCCTGTGTCTGCTACAGTCAGAAAATTTCTTGCTGAGAAAATAGTCACTCGTGTCATTCAATCTCCATATAGCCCCGATTTTAATTTGTTGTACAGACAAGCTTTCTCTTTATTTGAGTTTTGTCGCAAGGATTTGGACATTCAGGCAAAGAAAGTGGTTTAAAAAGCCATTGATACAAACTTAAAGCCACATTCACATGATCATATACAACGGCAACTGGAAAACCTGAAAACAAATTTAATTGAGATTTTGAGGCAAGGTGCCTACTTATGATCCACTCTTAATTTAATTGTTTTGCGCTTATTCTTTGTTATAAAAAAAAGTGATTATATGAATTTTTTTATTGACCCTAGTATGTCAATTATTAGTCATTAATCTTAATGATAGCTTAATAAATGGTAACATTACCATTTATTAAGCCATCAACTAAGCTATTAACTGGTACTACAGTATAACATGCCTCATGTCTTGATGTCAGAAATTTTTATGCAAAAGCTAGAAGAAGTTAACTCTAAGTTAATGTACTTTTTTAAATTTTTCTAAAATAAAGTAATTGTATATTTTATAATATTTAAACAAAAAAAATTTTATTTTTATTTTAAAATACGGTCAGTTTTTTTATTTTTTCTTTTTTTTTTTATTTCTTTTTTTTTTAATTGTTTTATGTCTTTTTCAAATCTTAAAGTTATTTTTTTTTAAATGCTGTTGCTTATATATCATGGATATTTAACCCTGACGGAGTGTTACTAAATTAAAGTTCTGGGCTCTTGGTTTAGTAAAAGCTAGTGATGGTTTCTCATGAAAAGGCTAGTGATAGGTTCTCAAAATAAAGCTAGTGATGGGTTCTCAATGAAAACAAACATGTTTTAGCATATTAGCTGCATACGGCTATTGCCTTATAAAAGGGTTAGGCCGCTTGGGTATAGACTAAAGGAAAAAAGAAAACTATTGTTAGCCAGAATCACACCACTTTTGAATTTAACAGAATAGTTCAGATGTAAAATTGTGTTAAATTGTTATAATGAACACTTCAAGATAATACAAATCAGTTTTTCCTTATTTTACTTTTCTTCTACTTTCCAAGACTTCCTTATTTTTGATGTTGTTTCTGATCACAATGTTAACAATGCTCTTTATCTCCATCAATAAGTTACATTTTTATTGGTGTCTTAAATATTCATCACACGGCTTGGATTTAGTAATGATTCTGTTAGTTCTAAAATTTGAATTTCAAGTTTTCTAAACCACAGATATTTACCACAGAGAGAAATCATTACTTCTTTTCCTACTAACTTATCTCATATTCTAATCACCTGGGTTCAGACAAACATTAAAATTTTTGCTCTATTTTATTGGTTTTAAGTCAAACCTTACCCAACCTTAGTTTTTTCTACTTCTTGTGCATCTGTTGTTTCTAGTCCAAATCATTTTATATATTTTTTTATTATTGCAAGATTATTATTCTGATGCAAAAAAGTATTGTCTAAAAATGAGATCCATTATTTGATATAAATAAAGCTCAGAAAATTAGGTTCTAGAAACTCTTTAACTATTTCATTAACTAAGACACATCTAAAATTCTATCCCTTATTTATAGATCTGATCTAATTACTCCACTTAAAGTAGAACTATTTATATAAACTATACCTCTAGTTCATTATTTAAGCCTAATGTTCATTCTCTTCATATTACCCTAGAGAAATAGGATCCCACTCTTTTATTATAACCTTTTATCTTAAAAATCATATACTGTTTAACATCTACTACATACAAATTAAAATTACTTTTAAAGTTATTTTTACTTTAACTCCTTTGCAGCTTGAGATTTGAACAGCATTCCTATCACAGTTTTACAAAAGCGTTTCTTAGAACTCTCATGGATCGCTCTGAACCTTCAAATTATTGCCTAATCATTACTAGAACCTTTGTGAAAATTTATTAAAATTCTTTAAATAATAAACTTCTAAATTCTCATCTTGAGTCAAACAACTTACACTTTGACAATAAATACAAATTGTGATCCGCATGTTTTACTTATTAATTTATTAATTGTTATAAGAGTCTTTATTGGTCTGGTAATGAATGTTGCTGAACTCAAGATATCAGAAGATGATAATTAAAAGAGATTGCTAGTGACAAATATTTCAGAGAATAGTAATGAAAAACTCAAAGAGTTTGGTAATGAGAGTAAAAAGACTCAATGAGTAAGGCCAGCAATCTCTAGAATTTAAAAAACCCTATAAAAGTTTCTAATATGGAACCACAAAGTTTTTATTATGGAACCACATAGCAGTTTTCCGGACACAGAAGAACAAGACTCAGTTAAGCATTTAAATAAGAATTTATAAAATGTTGAAGAGAGTTTGGAAAAACGCTATTGTGAAACTGTTTGTACTATTGTAAAATTTATTACAATTTGTATTTACTATTGTAAAACTATTGTAAAAATTTTTTACATAAACTCTTTTACAGCCTATAAATAGGCTATAAATAGCCTGTAGAATAAAATAATATTATTTATTAATAAAGTATTATATGGTTCTTTAAAGGCATTTTACACTTAAATATTAAATCATTTATCAGAATTGATCTGTTTCTCTGAGATAAAAGGAGTGTGGCCAATAGAACAAAGAAATGAGTTAAAAAAAAAGTTTGGTGCAAATAATTAGGTCTAGACACAAAATTAGCTAGAAACATAAGTAATTTTACTTGCCATAAAAACAAGTCACGAAATCTGGATATAATGTTGAAAATAATAGTTTTAAATGTTAGAGAAAAGTTAGTGGTACTAGAACCATTCAACATAATAATATTACCTACTCATTCGTGTTTGCTACAAAAACTATAGCAACCCTTGAAGCAGAGTTAATGGCAAGGAAAGTCTTTCAGCAATTTTTATAAGAAAATGTTAAAGAAAATGTTACTAAATCTAACTTTTATAAATTTATGATATTGTAGATGGTTTCACTTTTTACTTAAGTGTGTTGCATTAATATATCCTTACTTTATGATTCCTGAAACTCCTCGAATCCTACTAACCTCATACACTTGAAACCAACAACTGCATTCTAACCACAGCTGATTCTATATTTTTGTATACAAGTATTCCTCACTGTGAAGATATTGACATGGTGAGGAATATTTGTACACAAATCTTTTCTTTTTAAATAACATACTTTTTGGCCCATGAAAATTAAAACAAAATTTCAAAATTTAGAACGCTATCTGCTCCATGAATAAATTTACTGTTATTAGTTCTACCAATTCTATCAATTTTATGGACCTCACAATCATTAAAAAGATAGATTGTCAGTTACAAATAACAATACACAAAAAATCAACTGATACAACAGCTATATTACATTATAAATCATTCTACCCCCTCATTTAAAAAACAACAAAATATATAGCCAAACATTAAAATTCAACAAATTATATTGAAACTACCAACCTGATAAAAGAGCATTTATTTTGTCTAGTTATGAAAAATAATTTATGAAAATTATTTTAAAATAAACTTATATACTGTCTTTTGCTAAACTAATAGTGTTGAAAACATAGTCTTAGTATAGCTTATGCTACATTGGTTAGCTAATATGACCACCAAGGTATACTGAGATAATATATGTATTATTTAAAAAATAAAAAAAACTTTCAAAATTTTTTCAACAAATAGAAGTCTTTTTGCTTAAACTTTTTTGTTTTGAACTATTGTACTAATGTTGATATATTTTTAAAAATTCGAAAAGCAACATTTTGGTGGCGTGGAGGAGACTAATCAGGCAAAATGTGCTATTATAAAGTTAACAAATGTTGTTTTATTGGCATCAAAAGAAGAGGTTCTTTATCTTCTATCGGGTGATGTTTAAAGTTATTTAAGTCCAGATAGCATTGAAACTGATGACTTTAATGAAATTAATAAATTTCGAGTTGTATTTTTCCAGTCTGACGATATTGGCCAGATATCAATATTTTATGTAACACAAGTTTTTTTTGTATACATTGTGAACGTTGCTTACTTTCAAAAATCAAAAAAGGTATTGGGCAAAAAAAAAAAAATAATAACTATAAAATATTAATTTTTTTGAGCAGGTATAATTAGAAACGATACCTTTTTAATCAATTGTTTGTATATATTACTATCTATGTATATACTACTATGCAGTAGTATATACATACATAGTAGTATATACATATATGCAGTAGTATATACTAATCAATTGGATGTATATACTACTATGCAGTATAGAGAGCGTGATTTAAGAGCATTATTTTAAAAAATGGTCTTAAATCGCGCTATCTATACTGCATAGAGTATATGCGAGTGACTCAAAACTACAATAAAATGGGCTCAAAAAATACGATTTATCTAAGAAGTTGTGACAATGTTTTCTAAATTGTGCCACCTAATATTCTAAAGGACTACTTTAATATATTTAAATACTTTTTATATATATTAAAAAATAGTCATATGCTGCCTTTTTAGCAATATCATAATACATATTATAAGTATATATACATATATATATATATATATATATATATATATATATATATATATATATATATATATATATATATATATATATATATATATATATATATATATGTATATATATATATATATATATATATATATATATATATATATATATATATATATATATATATATATATATATATATATATATATATATATATATACAAACAATCACACGCATAAATCTTTTTAAAAATATTTATGTTTTTATATATATCTATAAAATGTTTATTTTATTCAAATTGCCTATTTTTATATTTATCATTTTATATTACTTTTCTATTAAAAATCGATTGTGGAAATACTGCAAGTGCAGAGTTCAACATAAAATGTAGTTTTATTTGCCATTTTAATATATATTATAGCGACGTTTAATTACGTTTGATAAAATTTTGCAATATTTTCTCCAGCGCATTTAAGCGTTGTTTCAGCGTTATATTTCACCCTTTACTCGACGTCTTTGAGTCACGTTCTTGCAAAATCGAATGCTTTAACAGCGTTAAAGTAACGCTTTTCAAGTAACGTTTTTTCAACGCAAAGTTGCGACGCCTATGCAACGCTTTTTAAGTAACGTTTTTTCAACGTTTAGTTGCGATATTTTTGTAACGTCTTTTAGTAACGTTTTTTCAACGTTACGCTACAATGTTTAATCAACGCCTTTTTGTCAACGTTACATATCTTTGCAAAATCGATTACTTTGTCAACGTTTCCGCAACATCGCAACAACACCGATTTTCAACGTTGATTTAACGCTGTCATGTTTGCAGGGTACAAATAACCGTATTAACAACAAAAATTATATACAAAAATATAATACAGTGTTAGCTTAGATAACGTTAAAGTTACAGGTAGCATATATGTTTTCATGGCGACATTTCGATATTTACTTATTCTGTTTACTAAACAGTTTCAAAGATGAGGTAATAGTATGCTACTTTTCTGTTTAACAAAGGTTACATGACTTTTTTTCCAGGTTCAAAAGGTTCCGCTCATTCAATAATCTTCCACCTAACTATACGATTTGAAAATCCTTTTTTTTTTCATTTCCTAGTAATATTTAGAAAGTTCTGTGGTATTAACTTTACTTCGGTATTGAAAAGAGTTTTTATGTTTATACAAATTATATCTTTACTAAAACACATCCCTTGCAAAGGATATTGTGAAGGTTTCTGGCAGTTACACATTTGAACAATTGTGTCGGAAAGAATAAATAACACTTTTTTGTTGTGTGAACTAATAGTATTTTATAGTAACTAAAGTTTGGAAGATAGCTATATAAGACTTTTTAAACAGTTACATATCATAGTTGGTATGGATTTAATAATACTAAGGTGTGGTTAGAACTTACATTAATGTATAATGGGTGGACAACTTGTTTTTTGTATGGCTGGAAAGTATTTTCTAACAGGTTGTCAATTTACCAATATTGTATTTTTGATTTAAGATTTTACATTCAAGAATGATTACAAATAGTAAATTTACTACTAAAAAGTAAACACCTACTAATGTTAATAATATCTATTTAAAATAACTTTAATGCTAGTTTTTACTTTATATAATAACAATGATAAACTTTATAACATAACATTGTAGTTAATAGTAATAGCAATAGTAACAATATTATTAATAATAATAATAGCAATAATAACAATAATAATAATAATTACAATAATAATAATAACAACAAATAGCAACAACAATAATAATAACAACAACAGTAACAATAATAATAACAGTAATATTACGCTTGAATTATTTTTAACAAAAGTGCTAATTTAAACAAAAAAATTTAAAAGAAAAATAAAACAAATAGAAACAGGAAATAGTACCAATAAAAATAAAATGAATTACCTGTAATATAACAAGCACAATGTTCATAAAACACATTTTTTTTTGAATCATTAAACGAAAATCTGAAATAAATTTTTTCATTCTCAAATATTAAATTTTCAACTTTGACAAAAACTTTATCATGCTTTTTTCGTTCCAAGTAATAAGGATAAGATTGATCCGAATTACTGATAGACAACCAATTATCATTTTTGCGGCATTTATACTCTACTAGTTGAAAAACTTTATCTTCATTTAAAACAAATTTAAATATACTTCCATAGGGAATTCTTCTTTCACTGTTGCATGAAATAAAAAAATTGTTATTAAATTAATTTTTAAATTTCAGAGTAAAATGACAAAAAAAAAACAAAAAACATCTTAATCAATACAGAAACCAGCAGCAATGAAAACCTTAAACTGACATTAGTTACAAGTATAATTTAAAGTAGCTGATGTGTAATAATATAAAAGTTATTATGAAACATCAACTACATAAAATAATACTAGTTTTAAAAAATATTATTAGGAATATATATATATATATATATATATATATATATATATATATATATATATATATATATATATATATATATATATATACTTGAATATATATATATATATATATATATATATATATATATATATATATATATATATATATATATATATATATATATATATATATATCTTATACTGCTGAGTTAGGTGAGCATGATGATGTCATACTCACCTAACGTCAAATAGCCTGCTGCTGGGGGCTTCAGTACATACATCGACAAGTACATGCTGGGGGCTTCAGTACATACATCGACTGAGAAATAGCCTGACTCGCAGTGGAGTGCTCCTACGTCGTCTGAGGGTATATATATATATATATATATATATATATATATATATATATATATATATATATATATATATATATATATATATATATATATATATATATATATATATATATATATATATATATATATATATATATGTATATACATATATGTATATATATATATATATATATACATATGTATATATATATATATATATATGTATATATATATATATATATACATATATAAATATATATATATATATATATACATATATTATATATATATATATATATACATATATAAATATATATATATATATATATATATATATATATATATATATATATATTTATATATATATATATATATATATATATATATATATATATATATATATATATATATATATATATATATATATATATATATATATATATATATATATATATATATATATATATATATATATATATATATATATTTAAAAGATTCGGCGCACGGTTCAAGAATTACACATGAAACTAAATTATTTAAGCGCATTCTTTTGGTTGCTGGTTATAACTCTTGAAGCAACAAACTTTTTATTAACTCTTGAAGCAATTATAAGTCAATAACTCTTGAAATAGTTACAACGCTTGAAAAAACAAAATAACCCAAATAAAACAACTTTTTAAATAACGCTACAGAATTCGTTACAGAAAAAGTTAGAGAATTTTTTAATCGCGATACAAAAGCGTTCTCATCCAAGTACAAAGTAACTGAATAATTAGTTTAATTAATTAACAAAATCTTGTGTGGTGGTGGTGGTGGTGGACGCATACTTTCAAACTCGAGGACATGCCAGATGTAGTGGTAAAGCTGACATAAACGAATCATTAGTTTAATACATTAATGTATTAAATTTAGGAAAATTCTTCAGGATTACCACTGATCCTGGAAAATCCTTAAAAGTCCTGAAATTTGAAAAAAGTACTAGAATTTCCTGGATTTAATTTAGTTATTCAGAAAAATCATAAAGAAGTACTCGAAATTTTCATTTTGTTTTAATTTGTTAATGTGTTTCAAATATCTTTCTCCTTTTTTTTATATAGATTATTTCATTCATAAAAAATATGGTAGTCAATAGTTTTCAATTAAAGTTCTTACTTCAGTTGTTTCCCAAAAAACTTGCGTTTAAACTGTAAAGTGTTATGAACTTGTTTTTAAAATAATACTTAAATAATGTTAAATATAAGTTAAGTAATATTTTAAAAACACGATGATTACCTTATAGCATTTTTGTCATAAGACATGAACTATAGTGTGTTATTATCGTGTTTTTAGCATATTATATTTTAAAAACAAGAGTTTAATTTGTATTTAATGACAATAGTTTTTTACTTTAATGTCATTTTTATATAAATGTTATATTTAATGCTATTTAACTTTTTAATTATTCAGTAATTAATAATAGAAATAATTGTGTGAGGTCAAAATATTAAACTAAAAATTTAGTTATTTGTCTTTCATTGTGTCATATAATTGGTTTATTTAGTTCAACAGTAGGTTTAGCAGTAGTTATATTATTTTAGTTCATCATCTGCATGGAGAGCACGCAGAGTAGCTGTTTTAAATATGTCTAAAGTACTTCAAAATTGTATTTTTTTGGATCTCAGTTCTATTAAGAATGACATTATTCAAAATACAAATAGAGAATATACATCGTTGGATGACGCTGCCAATTGTAATACTCAGAATGCAAATGCTATTTATTCAAAATCAGATGAAATTGCCTGTGATAATGATATGTTTGAAAATTTGCTGCAGTCAGGAAAAAAAAGTTTATATGATGACCTTCTAATTTACGAGATTGGGCTCTAAAAAAACAGTTGCATACAAACATGTATAAATTAAATTTTGAATCTTTTTTGGAAAATCATCACAACGTGCCCAGAGACTCGAGAACATTGATAAAAATAAAAAGATTCCTTCCACTAAAATAAGTGGGCATGGAGAATATATTTATCTTGATTTAAAAAAGAAATCACAAATCAAGTTGTTTTACATTCCATAACAGAAACTACCTTAAACTTATCTTTTAATATAAATGGCCTCATGTTATTTAAGTCTAGTTCTACTCAACTGTGGCCATTTGCAGTATCTATTTTAGAATTTCACCCTTTTCTGGTTGGACTTTATTGTGGAGAAAGCAAACCGCCCTACGATGTTTACTTGAATTTGTTAATGAGTTAATAGAATTACAAGACAGTCTTATTGTAGTTAACAATGTTCATTACAAAGTTTATACTTATTCATTTTTTTGTGACGCTCCTGCTCGAGTTTTATAAAAAGGTATTGTCAGTCATTCAGGATTTCATTCTTGTGAAAGATGTACCATTGTGGGAAAAAGTAAAAGCAGTCGAACTATTTTTTCAATGAGAGAAGAAGGCGTTGTTTTAATGATAAGTCAAAGATTCAATAATGACGAGTATTTTGAAAAAATTTTAAATGGAAGAGCACATCAGCACAGTAAATCAGTTTTAAGAAAAGTTACATCTGTAAATTTTATAAATATGTTCCCACTTGACTACATGCACTTAGTATGTCTTGGATGTATGCGTAGGCTCCTGTATTTCCTTTAAAAAAATATTAAATTGTCTGCTAATATGATAAACAAAATTTCTGAAAAGCTTGCTGCTTTAAATGGTAAACCACCAAGCGAGTTTGTCAGACAGCCTAGATCACTGACTGAACTTGATCGGGGGAAAGCTACCGAACTCAGATCTTTTTTGCTATATACTGGTATATTTGCATTGAAGGGGGTTGTTGACAGCTCTGTTTATAAGCATTTTTATAAGTCTGTCTCTTGCAGTAAGGTTTTTATGTGAAAGTGTTGATGTATTGAGAAACTCCAATCTCGAAAATGCTCAACAACTTATTGAATATTTTGTTATTAATTTTGGTGATTTTTTTATTTATTATTAGTTTATGGAGATTTATTTATTTATTTATTATTAGTTTATGGAGATTTATTTATTTATTATTAGTTTATGGAAATTTGTTTCGTGTATATAATGTACATGGACTTTTACACATTTGTGATGATGTAAAGTTTTATGGAGTCTCGCTTGATAAATTATCTGCCTTCAAATTTGAAAACTATTTTCAGAAATTAAAAAGATTAGTGCGCAGCAAAGATAACCCTTCGGCTCAAGTATGTAAAAGATTAGATGAAATGATTGACTACATGCAAATTAAAAAAGTAACAGGTAGAATGACCACAACCAAAAGAGATTCTTGTTTTTTAACTGAGGATAAGATTGTATTTCTTCAAAAGTTAGTTGATAAAGACCACTATCAGTGTTTTTCTTATAGCATACAGTTTATAGATATTTACTTTACTGCTTTTTTTCCTTCAAGAGATATTGGAATCTACTTTGTCAGGAATACAATAAAACCTGTTGTTTTTTTTATGCATAAAAACAGCTTTTTGCGGAAATATATTTTCATAAAAGTTAATGATGGATTTTTTGTTTCTGCTTTGGTGCATTTTGTTGAGTTGAGTGGAGAATGTTGAAATGATTCACAAGAACAACATTTTATACATTTACTTTTATTTATTGTTTTTGTTAATAGATATATATATATATATATATATACATATATATAAATATATAAATATATATATATCTTTTAAGTTTATATATATTTTTTACGTTGTTATATGCTGTATTTGTACGTTTTTTTTTTCTTATTACACTTGATGCTGACCGCTATATGTCAGCGAAATATCGTAAATATATCATTATACCTAAAGATGTTTAAAAAAAACAAGTTCATTCGCAGCCTTTTTTCAATCAAATGTAACTTATCTATATATGAGTCGTTGAGAGCAAGGGTGGTGTAAGTCAAGAAAAATTGTGATTTGAGTTAAGTCAATGTCCGAATAGTTTATTACTTAAGCTATTTTTGGTATAAGAGGTGTAAGTAGCACAAGTCAAATCAACACTGAAATTGACCACATTGGGTGTTTTTGGTAATCTTTTTCACGATGAATAAATAATCTATATGACTATTTAAATAAAATCAAGATTTTGGTTTATGGGTCGCAATATTTATCAGATAATAAACAAGAAAATGATATCTCTTCCTCTGGTGAATTTTGTTGAGATAATTTGTTTATATTTCTTGGTTATGTTTGATTGTTTTCATTGGCCTAGTAACCTAGGCCATAGGACCAGGTTATTGTAATGTTTCTAAACACGATGCTTCATTTCATAGTCATCTACAGTGGCCATTAATAATTTTTTTGTAAAAGCCATACTGATTTTTACACTTTGTTAGCCACAACAAGGTAATGAGATTTCATTCTGACACAAACATAGGCTAGGCCTCGTTTTTAATCAATGGCATAGCTAAAGGCCTTAGGGCAAAGCTAGGCTTTAACTAACACGGCTTTACTATGCCTAGGCCTATTTTAT